CAATGCTAGTTAATTGCCTGAGATCCATAGCCTCTTCATCCACAAAGGCAAAAACAGTGTCACTGCCATACTCTCCTTCCTATCTTTTGTATGGTCCTGGGCAATAGTGGAAAGACATATAGCATACACATTGCCCAGTTTTGAGAGAGGTCATTCACCACCTCAGAATCTAGGTCCTGACACATGGAGAGGCCACTATGGCTTTCTGTTGTTTCTAGATGCAGATGTCAATCACTAGCTCACCAAGTTGACTGAGTGAGGCTATTTCTGGGTACACATTCCACTCTGCTTAATCCAACTTCTGCCATAATAAATCTTGGTATTTATCTTTGCTCTTGATGTGGAGTGCACATAAAGATAGGAAACTTTGCTCTGGCCAGGACAGGAGAAGTTGATTTTTTTTTTTCTTCCTGAATTGGAATGATCATGTTCCCCCTAGTTTATGTAAAACTCCCTCAGACACATTGATCCTCAAGTAGAATAAGTCTTTTATCCTTGGAAAGAACAGCGCTCTGAAACTTTAGTATATCATTGTTTCAACTGGTGGATGCTCTGCACTCTTTCAATCCAGGGGAAAGGTACCAGAAGAAATTGAGACCTGAATGAGCCCCCTGCATTACCCCAGCTGGCATTTTAATATTAGGCTCACTCTTCCTGATGCACTAATGGGTGGATCACTTCAAAAAAAAAAAAAAAAATGTTTTGTCTACATTTGGTTGAGGGAGTGGAGAATATATGATGGGGCCTTGATCCCATCACATCCGTTGGCAGAGATGAGATGCAAGGGAATAGCAAGAATTACTGAACAGGTCTCATAGGAGCTCTGTTTCTTTGAAGCACATCTGTCATGAGATCAACATTCTCAATAGACTCCAATAAGAACTGGATTTTTTCTGAGACACCACTCATTTTCCTTTATGGACATAATCTTCTGTTAATATTCTTCTGAGATGAGAGCTGGTACCTGATAGTATTCATAGTCAGCCCTTTTTTCTTTGTTTGGCTTGCTCTGTGAAGTGTGCATGGACACTAGCCATTGCACAAATACCTCAGAAGGGGGAGCGGAGCGGAGAAGACAATCACCCCCAGAAAAATCAAATGCAGCCTTTGGGCACAGCTGGGAATTAGACAGAACCACTGAACCAAACTGTTAGTCTAAACTTCTGAAAAAGTTTGGAGTTTCTTTCTGAGAAAAGCTCTGCAGCAGAGAGGCCTGCCTGAGCTGCCGGGCACTAGGGAATGCCTGACAGGTCTTGTTCTGCCCCCAAGCTGCCAGTAGGCTGCTGTACCCATTGTAATGTATCTGTGGACCTTAGCACAATGAATGTATTGAATGAAAAAAGTCTGTTGCTAAACAGGACAAGTAGGACAGTGAAATCAATATAAAAAAGGGGGGGGAAAATACTAGCCAAACATATCTGAAGTTGGAACTAGCTGGGCAAGGAGACTGGGGCTGCGAACTAGTTTGGCTGAGGGCAGGAGGTGAGAGGAGCTAGATCTGGTAAGGAGTTGACATGCATGGGAGACTGGGACTGGCTGGGCAAAGAGAGTGGGACAAGTAGCCAGGCAAGGGGGGATGCTGAGATTGCATGATTCAGAGTGGTAGCCGTGTTAGTCTGTTTCAGCAAAAACAACTAGGAGTCTTGTGGCACCTTAAAGACTAACAAATTTATTAGCGCATAAGTTTTCGTGGGCTATGATCCACTTCTTCAGATGTATGGAGTGAAAAATACAGTAGGCAGGCATAAATACACAGGGAGGGAGATTGGGACTGAGTCAGTGGGGATAGGAAACATGGAAGTGGGTGAGATGACTGGAGGATAGGGCTTGGGAGAGATGGATCAGGTGAGGAGCCAGAAGAAAGGAGATTAGAAGTGGCTGGGCAGGGAGACTGGAATGAGGGGACTGGCATTGGCTAGGTGAGGAGAATGGGGCTGGGACAATGAGCCTGGGGTGGGGAAGAGGAAGCATTTGAATACACAAGAGGGGACAAGGAAGAAAGTTCATGCTGTGGGGAGGGAGGGGAATAGATCCACTAAGAGCGCACACTCCTCCAGAGCCTGGAATGAAACCCTCATTCCTGAGTCTCACCATTCCTCTGCTCTCAGCAAACAGCTGTGAAAACCACTGGCAGTGTCCCATTCCCTTAGTGTTGGTCCATGCAGAGGATGACAGCCTACTACTGCCATAATTTACTCCATTAATGCAAGTGATAGAGGTCTGTGTGGCAGACCTAAGGGTTCCAACACTGCCGGTGGCCCATGTAAGTGTCAATATGATGCCACATGATGGAATTTGCTGCTGTTTTTTTTTTTTAACCTAGGAGATTACATAAAAAAATCTGTTTAAAATAATAATGTTGCAAAGTCAAACTGTCAAAAGTTAGGAAATACCAGATTTAAAGTTGCCTGTGCAATCTTAACTTGACCCCCTTGTGATTATGCATTATGATAGTCCTAATGCATTATTCTATTTTCCCCCCACAGGATCCATTCATTCAGTGCACAGGTGGACTTGCTCTGGGGATGAATCAGGGTTGTGTAATGGAGACTGTTGTTTGTAGGACCCCTGTTTCATTTATTTCAGAAGTTGGAAGATGTGTAGCGTAAAGGGTTGCGGGAAGAGAAGGGATGGTCTCATGGTTAAGCCAGTTAAATGCTGCCCTGGAAAATTGGGTTCTATCCCTGCCTCTGCCACACAGTTCCTATGTGATGCTGGGTAAGTTGCTTAAACTAAACTTTTCACAGGTGGTCTCTATTTGTGTGTTCCTCATTTTCTGGGTGCCAGGCTTGAGACCCCGGGATCTGATTTTTGCAGAAGTGCTAAATGCTCACAGCTTCAAGTGAAGTCAATGTGAACTGTGCTTGGAACATATAAAGTGCTATATAAAGTACTCTGTAAAAAACGGGTCCTAGGCATCTCTAAATTAGTGGATACTTTTTGAACTTAAGCTCTTTGTACCTCAGTTTACTGTCTGTAAAATGGGGATAATACCACCTCATGTCAGGGGCATTGTGAAAATAAATTGTTTGTGAAGCACTTGAATACTGCAGTGATAAGCACCATACAAAAGCTGATGAAGAAATTATTTAAATAATATTTAATTAAGTAAATAACCCATGAAGCCATAGATTTGCATGAAGAGAAAACAAGCTATTGAATAGCTGCTTCTTCAGTGAGCACTGTCCATTCTACGTACTGAATAAGGCAGAGATTCTGTGGACAAAAAAGTATGTGATTAAAGACTCTGTCATAGTACATATGCAGAGCAAGATCAAATTAAAGTTGCATAGGTGACCTTAACTTGCCAGTGTTTGATAAGTGCAACCTTTATGTTTTCTTAACATATTTTTTGTGTGTAATTTTAAAAGGTATAGAATATGATCATGTAACTACAGTCTGTACCACAGTTTATATGCACAATGGGGCAGCAGACTAAGAGAGCTTGCGCAGCCTTAAATTGGGAATATCCTGATTCAAGTGCAAAATTGAGTTGCTATGGGTATTATTCCTAGTAATAGATTCACCAATGGTAGACTGTTATGCCCATACAGAACACCAGTGGAAGGCATTCTGGTCTGGAGCAATAAGCACAGGGTTGGAGGTTAAGAGGTTCTGAGTTCTAATCCTCTTTCTGCCACTGGCAGATTTATTGAGGGGCTTGGTTAAGTCACTTCACCTATGTTTCCCAGTCTGTAAAATGGGGATTACATTTATCCACCTCATAGGAGTGTTCTGAGGTTTAATTTAACATCTGTTCAGTACTTTAAACACATACAGTTTTATATAAACACTAAATATTATTGCAAAGTCCATTCAAACACATCTGCACAGTCCAGAACTTAATATTAACATCTTGTTTCTATGGATTATACATCAAATATCACTATATTTATTGTAATTTATGGGGGTGCATATCAAAAAAACTATTTCCAGTATGAAAAGAGGGCTTCATCTGAATAATGACTCTCATCCAAGCAAAACTGAAAGCAAAGAGCACAGCCAGGATCATAATAGCCTTTTCTACGTGTTGACATAAATCATGATGTGATTCAACAATGCTTTTGCTTAGCCTTTCATCTGTGCTGTACAGTGATCTGTTTGCTTTGCTTCAAACAGAGGATTCTTGAAGATGTTTTCTTAAACGATGATTTTCTTGACCCAGGGAGTGTCTGATTATTGCTGTGCATCAGAGCTTTTCATGCAAAGATGTTAGAGGGGCATGTGTGTTTGTCACTCCGTTACAGCTTTTTTCTGGGGGGAAAAAACTGTTTTTAATACCCAAGAAGAGTCAGTTTGTTCAAGTGTATTTATTTGTCTAGCATTCATCTCCTCATTCCTGTGTTTTGAAGTTTGCAAACTGCTGCTTCATTCAGGGGAATACTGACTCAGACCTATCGGGCCCAGTTCTGATGTTTCACGGTTCGTAAATTCAGATTAACTCCACTAGGTTCAGAATTACATGGACATAAAAAACCATTGTGTTTGGAACTGTAGTTAACGCCTGTCTGCAAAATTCCTCAGGGAGCAGTGTGATCAGGGTGTGTAAATATGGGTGACTTGGGATCAATAGTGGGAGTTTAAAGCCTTTCTCTAGATTAGCAGCATGGTAGTAATCCAGGCAAGGGAGCTAAATTGTAGTTTAGGCCCTGATTCAGTGTGATCCTTAGAAACATTCTTATCTTTGTTAGTAGACCCACTGAAGTCAACGGGACTTACAAAATAAAAGTTAGGCACGTGCTTAAGTACCTTTCTGAATAGGGCCCTAAATCCATTAGCTGGAAGTGTTGATAGATTATTAACCTCTTATATTGGCTGGCCAACTGGAGGGGAAGAAGAAATGAAATTCCCACACTCCTAGTTGGGGTTATATCTATACAAAGGAAACTTAAAAAAAAAAAAATAATAATAATTCCCACCACTGTTAACTAGTTCAGCTCCCCCAATGTTAACGTGCTGGTGTTTACTAGAGTCAGTTGGACCTGCTTTGAGCAGGGCTGAACTGTTGAAACCAAATATATTTTTACATTTGAAAATAGACTTAAGTAATTGGTGTAACCATCTAAAATTAAAATTTACTGTGACAAAGTAAATTTTATTACATTCAGGACTTTTTAGTCCATCATAAAATTGACAATGCTGTACATGTGTACACTATGGTCCGTATGATACAGATGCTCTGTATTTAAAAAAAACCCTAAAAATATCAGATCCAGTGCCTGCCCATCACCGGAGTTCATGCTCCCTGCCACTGCTCTGAGTTCCATGACAGATTCTACACCAGTGTTGCTACAACCTGTGCATTGTGAGTGCTTTCGGGGCTTCTGTAGTCCTTTTGGTATTCTCTCTCTCTGTAGCTATTCTCAAGGCTGTATTGAGTCCTGGTCATCTGGCTCCGAAAGGCCCGTACGTTTCGAATGGTGAGTGCACAGATCACAGAACTTGGGAAGTACAAACAAGCAGCAACGATGCCAAACAGGCTGACAGCTGCATCACCCCCCTGAACCTCGCAGTTCATCCAGGTGTACCCACGGCGCGCATACAGTCTTTCCCTCTTCTTGCATGTGTCGGTGGAGTTCACCTGGATGATAAAGTGTAAGTAAAGGCCAACAGCTGCAATATACCCCATACAAGCCAGCGCATCAAAGGCACATTCTGCCACGAGCATCTTCACAGAGAGTCGATCAATGGGTTTTGCCCCAGCGATGAGGAACAGGAGTGTAAGTGCCGCTAATGTCAGGCTGAAGGCTACTCCCCCATACACACAAGGAGCTCTCATCTGGCTGTACTGCATGTCCAGGTCTCGCACCTCCTGGAACTCGGTTCCTTCAAATGGGCTGTAAAACGAACCAATGTTGAAAGAGCCCGTTCCCAAACCTCCCATAGAACTGTAGCCAGCAATAGCTGCATGGGAGGCTCCAACACAGATCAGCACTAGAATGTTGACGGTAATTTCAACAAACTTCAAAATACCTGCAGGAAGAAAAGGGTGAATGAATTAAATATTGGCTTAAAATGTATTTGTGCAAATGGCAGGGGGCGGGGAGAGAACTAACACATTTTAAACTACAGAGAGACCATATTGAGCTTTTCTCCTCAGGGGAGGCTACAGAAAAAGCCCTCCTTTGTATACGAATCATCTGCTTTAATTCGTGTACTTCAGAGCCTGAGCAAGATGGCTTTTTCAGTAATATGACAGTGCACTTGATAAGTGGATCATGCAAAAAAAATCCATAAAGGTTTTTAGTGCTGCTTGTGCTGTGATGAAGAAAAGGTAACAGCACCAACAGGTTGTATTTGGTATTCCAGCTGCTTAACACACAACCACACGGAATGGGAGCTGTCCATCTGAACAAAACTGTGGACAAGATTTTTTTTAAAAATCTCCAAGCTCCTAGTGACTTTTTTTTTTTTTTTTGTAAAATCAGGCCATTTATTAGATCCCTAAATATGCATTTAGCAACCTTACTTTAGGCTCCTGTTTAAAAAAAAAAAAAAAATGGCCTCTTATTTGCTGGATCTAATCTAAATCAAACAAGGCTTTAAAATCATATTTAAGGAGACACTTGTTCAACCTGTGTGCCTCGACTGACCTCCTTTTAAAGGGAAGTAAATCCTATGATTCCCAGCTTGTCTTACCTAACCCCCACTTTCTAAAGCTAAAACTGTATGAAAAAGTTCCTCTAGGCTGACCATCTTCCTCCTCTTGTAAAAACATTGTATGGCATGGACTTTAAGCAAAGGAACAGCATTTGGATAATTGACTCTTGTTTGTCTGTGACAAAGTAACAAAAGTAAAGTTGAAGTTCTTCAATTTCAAACCATCCACTATTGCAATGGCAATTTTATGAAGAGATACCATTTAACATTTATCTTCCAATCCATCACCAAGCTGACAGGCAAAGGACCTTTTTATAGAAAGGATTCACCGACCTCTGTTACTAGTAGTAGGCCATATATCTGTATTCTAACAATCAGCCAGGTCAATGTTTTAAAAATCAGAATTACATGTAACTTTTCTATAGCAAGGTTGTAGGGGTTGATGGCTGTCCATTGGATATCACTTCCTGGAGCATAACTGCATGTTAAGTGTCTGCAATCCAACTGAATGCTGGCATTTCAAAAGGGCATTTTAACCAGCTGGTTGCTCCCCAATGTAAGATAAGTCATAAATATAATATGTAGCTCTTCATCTTAAAGCAGCTTACAAAATGTATCCACACAGCAAACAAATACCTCCATCCTTGGGTTTGGAAAATGGGAACAAATTGGGAGGAGGGAAAATTTTGCCCAAGAACACCAAGACAAAACCTTGCTGTATAAGAAAGTGTCATAGGATTTTTAATGTCCATCCAGGGAAGACAGTTTTCATATCACACGTTAACACCCCTATACACAAGACTGCATAGAACTCGTTTTATCTACCTTGTATGTCAGGTATTGAACCAGTGCCTCCAGGAAATTCAGGTACTGTACTATCCCACCTCTCCAAACACGTATACAACAGGCCTGACCAAATAAAATGGCCTGTTTTTATTAAATCTACATTTTTACTACTTACTAATTCAGTCTTTATACTGTCTTACTCCATTAAAAAGGACTAAATGTTTATTTTTTCTGGAAAAGTGCTGTAGTTTGGATCCTGCTCACTTCAAGCACTGAGCCTCCTAAAATGTAAATAGTCTTAGAGGAAGCGACAGTACAGAATTTATCTTCAGATTATGTTGGACTAGAAAATCTAAGGGTTAATTTTATGTGATGACATCACCTTAAACAAGGAATTCAACAAAGTTACTGAGGGTCTTGTAAAGTGCTGGTTCTAGCCAGTGATGCATGTAACACCACTGTTTTATTTACTGTTTGATGTAGATAGTATTTTAGATCTTACTGCATATTTTAAAACCTCCAGGGTGGTAAATGTGAAGTGAAGAATTTTTCATGGGTCTAAGTAAATAATTCTAATGTAGAATTTGAAAAATATTAAATACTTCAGCATAGTGTCTCTGCTTCTGTGCTATGCAGAGCTAGTCCTTCAATATGTAAGTAGTAATAATCACTTCATTAACCACTAGAGGGCAGACGAAGTTTAGTAAAGGTTTTATTGCAGTTACATTTGAAGCTTCAGGAGGCCAAACCTGTAGGGTAGCAAACATGCTGCACCTCCTTACTTCTGAAAGTAATTACCGAGTCCCTAAGGCTCTTCTTACCCACGCTCCCCATTCTTTGCAGCAATAAGTGGATACAGGCTAAATGTAAGAAGCTTGCCAAAATGGTCGTGCATTTACTGGCCATTACAAAGTGGGACACAAATCGCAAGAAGCCTACAGTCTTTCACTTTATGCTGCCAAATTCATCTGTGTTGCATTTCCCTGCTGTTATCTAGCCAGCTGCTCTCTGTTGCTGTCAGATCTGTCTGAGCTTGCAAAGAAAGGAATGAAGCAGCACAACAAAGATTAGACTATGGAACATCCTTCCTCTTGCTAGGCCGTGTTGTTCTAGAAACCTTTGTTGCACTTTGGAAAGTGGGATTTCCTGGTGCGAAACCAACTGTGCTCTTCAATGGAGAGGTCTGAAAAACCCTGGAACTGTATAATAGCATGAAAATTACTGAACCCAATCTACAGTTTTGTAGTGCCCGTAGCTTACTATGTAATTGCAGTGGGCCTGATTCTGACATGCTGATTTCAGTGGGACTCCTTCTGGAGTAAGGTACTACAGCATGAGTAACAGTAGCAGAAATCTGGCCCTTAGCAAGCAGGAGAGGAAATAGATTGAGGTCAGTACATGTGTAACCATCTCTGACAGTAACAGGAGTTGCTTTATGGCATGTTGTGAATTATATTTCCACAAAGGCAAGAAATTCAGGTTAGACGGGTTTGTGCATCAGTACGATTTTAACACTAAACTGCCACAATGCTGACTTATTGAGGAATTTGGGCTCGGCTTCATTGAACCAAGTTCACTGTACTTGCATAAACAACACACAGAGTCTTCCAGTGACCCTCTACTTCCCAGTTACTTGCAACATATTCAGACTGATTGTAAAATGGGCAAACATCCACGGCTCTCCTAAATCAAAGAAAAGAAAAGTCAGCTCCAGAGGAAAACAGGCAGCTGTGAATTACAGGGCAGTGGGGCTAGGTTTTGTCAAAGTAATAAACAGCTAAAGAGATTAGAACTCTGGAATAATAGCCCTTCTCAAAGTTTGACTTCCTTTAAAATATACACAATACATTGATCAGAGTACTGTATCCAAGCCCTGCACAGTTGTCTCAGCAGCTCTTGTTCCTTCTCCGATCTCATTTATTGCTGCCTCCTAGAAAAACTTCCAAGCTACTGCTCCTGCCACTATCCTCCAGTTCCACCCAGGTAGAGGTTTACTTACATGAAGTACACCTCTACCTCGATATAACGCTGTCCTCGGGAGCCAAAAAATCTTACCGCATTATAGGTGAAACCGTGTTATATCAAACTTGCTTTGATCCACCAGAGTGCCCAGCCCCCCCCCCCCCCGGAGCGCTGCTTTCCCGCGTTATATCCGAATTCGCGTTATATCGGGGTAGAGGTGTACATTTTGTAAAATTTTCCCACAGCAGCCACACTGGTGCCTGTATGTTGGGAGCTCTAGTGTGCTCGGCCTACTGTCGGTTTTAACACATCATATCCATTACACTGAGCAGTGAACCTGTGGTAAGAATATCAGCTGCTGATGCACCTTGTCTGAACTAGGGCTTGCAATATCGCTCATACTTGTAGAGCTACGCTATTCTGAACAATGACAAGAAAATTTTACAAAAAATCCCCTATGTAAACAAGGCTTGGCGTACGTTAGTTTAAACCTAGTGCCCAATTTTCTGTACCAGTACAAGCAATGGTGTAGACGCAAGCCCTGATACTGTTGCTGAGGAACGAGCAGTAAACATGCCAATTTAGTGGGTCTTGCCCCTGTGTACAGGCTCTAACTGATCTCCATATACAGGGTCAGGAAGGAACTGTCCCCCAAGTCAGATTGGCAGAAACTCTGTGTGGTGGGGGCGGGGGGATTCGCCTTCCTCTGAAGCATGGGGCACAGGTCATTTGCTGGTCTGAATTAGAGCAAGTGGTGGATTCTCTGTAACTTGAAGTCTTTAAATCAAGATTTGAGGACTTCAGTATCTCAGCCAGAGGTTATGGGTCTATTACAGGAGTGGGGGGTGAGGCTCTGTATCCTGTGATATGCAGGAGGTCAGACTAGAGGATCATGAGCATCCCTTTTGGCCTTAAAGTCTAAGCGTGTGGTCCAGCTTGAGTATTTCCACCTCCAGCAGCAAGGCCTCAGGTTTTGCCTAGAGTAGGATTTACAGGCGTGCCTGTTGGGTAGGATATGCTAGCTAACTCCTTCTAATAGTCTAGTGTACACAAAGCAGAGTTTAACTCGTGCTAAGATGGTAGAGTTAAAGCCTATGAGGCTTTGACATTCCACCTTAGTGTGTGTTAAAGTCTATGCTGCCTAGTCTACTTCCAGTGTGTGTTAGTTAGCACCTCCTACTACAGTGTTCTAACTTTTCAGTCCTAGTTTAGACAAAGCCTGGGGGGGCTAAGCTGGAGCTGCTGCCCTGAAGAGTAAAGTGCTTGTTCTTACTAGGTGATTTCATAATTAATGGATATTTTTTTCTCCAGGGTTTTTAGCATCACTTTTAAGGACAGCACACAATGATTACCAATATCAACATCACGCCCGAGTCCTTCCCCAGAACCCCACCCCCACCGCCAAATAGTGAGCCATGCAAAAACTCGGATCTCATCTCTCCCACCCATGCAGAAATAAAAAAGTGGACTTTACAGTGTGCCCAGCAGATTGGAGGAACTGAAGCTTGTCTGACCTAAAGAAATTGAGTAATACATCTCTACCCCGATATAACGCTGTCCTCGGGAGCCAAAAAATCTTACCACGTTATAGGTGAAACCGCATTATATCAAACTTCCTTGGATCC